AGAAATAAGATTATTTATGACGCTCTTATTTTGTGAATTAAAGGCTCGCGGCTTTAGAAGGATATTACGATACCGTTAAGATATTGTTATCTCATAATGCTGATGTCAACGCGAAAGATGCCGATGGAAGGAGCACTTTGTATATACTCGCATTAGAAAACAGATTAGCTATGGCGAGGTTTCTGTTAGAACACGCGAACGCCGACGTAGAAAGTAGAGATTCAGAAGTAAGTAATTGTCATTTACGTTGAAAGGAATAGTGGAATAATTATTACTTTTATATCTAAAACGACTCGAGTTTCGTATATATGATGTAACTCATAAAATCGATAATATTGATAATTTATGCATTCTACAGGGTAGAACATCATTGCACGTAAGCGCTTGGCAGGGACATGTGGAAATGGTAGCATTATTGTTAACCGATGGTGGAGCTAGCGTGAACGCTTGCGACAATGAAAACAGAACACCGCTTCATTCAGCCGCTTGGCAAGGACATGCGGCGATCGTCAGACTGCTTCTGGAACACGGTGCCACTCCTGATCATACTTGTAATCAAGGTGCAACGGCTCTGGGTATGCCAATTATGAATATAATCTATAATTATATATAAATAAAATATATATATATAATTCTGTAAAATAAATTTTTCTTATAACTTAATTATAACTCTTAAATAAAGGAGCACATTAACTGAGAGGAGAATATAATTTGCAGGTATAGCTGCTCAAGAAGGACACGAACACTGTGTTCGGGCGCTTTTAAATCATGGAGCTGATCCAAATCATTCTGATCACTGTGGACGGAACGCTATTAAAGTAGCCGCTAAAAGCGGTCACGATACAGTTGTCAGGCTGTTGGAAGAGCATTCTGCGAATCAACGCAGTTTGAGGCCCGGTATCAATGGAGGTTGACATTTTCGATTTTTTTTTTAATTAATTTATAGTTAAATTTGAACATAATTAGAAAGAAGATACGACATCGCTTCTTCTCTGCTAAAGCGAAAACATGAATTGTGAAATTATTTTATTAAAATTTTATATTAATATAATTTTATTTCCCTTGCAATATAAAAAATATTTTTACACATTATTATTTATTAAAGTTTCTTTAAATATATATTACTCGAAAATTAAAATGTTACATTTATGTAATTCTCAGGTGGTAGCAGTAGTGCTACTTCTGTTACATCCAATTCAACGGCTGAGACTAAACCTTCATCGGCAATTCTGAATCCTCTGTCGACACAATATAGTCCAGCAGAATCACCCGATTCAACAAAACGACGCAGCTGTGTTTCTCTGGGTAATAATTCGAGCAACAGCAAATCGAGCAGTAATTTAACCGGCAGCACTAAGAGCGATCAAGGAAAATTCAATCAAAATTCGATGGTTAATTGTCAGGTAATTAAAGTACGTACTACTAATTAAAGTACGTACTACGATTAATTACTTTTTTTATAGAAAAAATCTAAATTATACTTTTCATAATTTTAGACACCGTTATCTTTCACGCAACAACTACAGCAATGCTCAAGAGGAGCAAAGAGTCGGCCTCTTAGCAAATTATTGTCACCTTTGAAAAGCGAGCCGCAGAGTCCGATATACGCTTCACCTCCGCACTCTCCGTTAAGCGACAGTCTTATTCCTTACTCGCCTACAAACACGAGTCCACCCAGTGCTCAAACGGCTGTCAATGTCATACAGAGTCAGTTGGGTGTGTCGTTGATGGCAGCAAATCCGAATATGCCGTACAAAACGCAGATGGCAGGATACAATCACACTCCAGTCATCTACGAACCTATCAACATCAAGACTGAGATTATCGACAGGAATAACCTTAGCAAACCGTTCGAATTGACGAATGAAATGTTAGGTTTGAGCATTGGGAAAGATAAGGAAAACGGACATGAGGAGAAACGAAATTCAGCCGACACGCATTTCACGCGAGACACTCATATGAGAATAATATTAGGAAACAGCGGCGCTGGCGTTGGTAGAAGTGTTAAGCACATTTCAGATCACACACCTGGAAGGTAAGTAGTTGACAACAATTAGACACACAAATTATAAGCATACGTTCTAATGACCATGGCATACAATTAACATTTTCTCTCATCGCGAAACATTTTTCTCCACATAACACATAAATTTTATAAATCTCAAATTATTTACAGGCACACGTTCACAAAACTCAGCAGTGCGAGTGTTAGTCAAATCTCATGTATATTCGTTTTATGTTTCACATCGTATCCACAAAAATCATATCTACATAATTCCATTCTCTAAATTGAAATTTTATAAAGCATACATATTATCTTAATTTTTTCAATGCAATTCTTTAGACTTTGCAGAAGTCACAATGGTCGTATAAGGAAGACACACCGCTTCATGAGCGATAGGCTCTCCTTCCTTTTTCAACCCTCCCGAGCGAAAAAAGATAGAATATGTAGTCAAGGAGGACATACGACAATGTTAGATATATTTATCATCCTATGTATCAATTGGTTATTAATGTTTGTTTAAAATACAGCTGATCAAAAGCAAAAACAAATATTAAAAATAATAAATTATTCTCATTTTTTTTTTAACATCTTGATACGTTATTACCTTTCTTTTTGTCTTACATTTTGTCTTACATTTAGCTTTTCACTTCAGCTCTTCGACGAAATAATATATTCATATAATTACTCATAAACGCATCTTACATAAAGTGCTCTATTTTATTTCAGTGCAAGTAATGTAAAACCAAAGCGTAATGGCTTGGTATCCAATCCAGCCATGAGATTAGTAGCAGGCGTTAAAAATGGAATTGAAAATGCTACAAATAGAAATAAGCCTATTACAACGCGCGTAAATGGATTCCAGTGGAAAGCGGAAGCGCGCAAGGAAACGCCCTTGTAGGGACAGGTATCTATCGTTTGTTTACTTGTTAACAATTTTTTGCTGTTCTATATATTGAAAAAACTTGTCAATTGTTGTAACTTTATCAGTAACAAGAAATAATTTATTTCAAGTCATCTAAAGATTATATATATTTCGTAAATGTACTTAAATTTAGTTCTCTGATTTATTTGCATTTTTATAGAATATTTTATAGAATTTTAAAATCTTAGCTTGTATAATTTTGAACTTAAGACATTTTAGAATCTTAAAATTTATATTTTATTATTTTTCAAATGGAGCAAATTGAATTATGATACAGAGATGTAAATATTTCTTAATAATTATCTATTGCCAAATTTTGTACAATAATGCAATAATAATTGGGCAAGACACACATTAATAGATGTAATTATGTGAATATAATTATGTTAATTGTAATAAAACACTATTTTTCTACTGATACAGGCTGTACCTTATGGATTGTCTCGGCGAAGACCTGCAAACCAATACCATGGATGGCGATCTGTCGCGAATAAAAAGCGAAAGTCAATAAACAAATTTTTCTCTGTTTATTTGAGCAAAATCAAATTACCTCAAATAAAAAGGAAGAGAAAGGAAGAATGAATATACCGACATGGAGAAACAGAAATTGCGTAGCACACAAAACCAAATATTAATTTGCATAGGGAAAATATATGTAGACATAGATATGTAAACTTGCAAAAACATGACTTTGTATAAACATAACGTTATAATGGAATTATTTACTGATCTCACTAATATAATGCATACATACACATATACATACGTTTGTATTGAGTGTATGTGCATGTGCATGTATGCCTGTGTGTGAATTACGCTTATACAGAATATCGCAAACACTGCCCAGTCTCCGAATCGATTTTAGAGGAAAAACTGTTTTGATTCGCAACAATTGAAAATAAAGAGAAAATGCTGAAGTTATCGCGAGAAATTGATCAGGTTTGGAGGTATTCTGTATATATATTTAAAAAATTATTAAAATTTTGAAGAGAGAGAGAGAGAGAGAGAGAGAGAGAGAAAGGAACTTTAATCGTGATGTTAATGCCAGGTTAGACGATATAAAGTTTAATGATGAAAATTTCTTCAGAAGACTGGATGCAAACAGAATGCATATGTGATCTTTTAATGGATAACTTTGAATCGAAAGAGGAGATACTGTAAAGATATGTATAAATTATATTAAGAAAAGTTAAAGAAAAAACGATATTACGAACTCATTACAAATACGTAAAGTTATGGCCTGAAAATGAGGAACGTGTGTAAATACAGATCCCCTCGTAATGTCCCTCACGCAACATATTTATTATACTGTAATAGGTGCGAAATAAATAAAATTAGAAAAGAATATTACACGTAATTATTGGCGTAATTATTTGTCGGTTTATATTACCGTGATCTCATTTCTGCATAATATCCTATCCGACGATAAATCATTCGAGTTGAATATATAATGATTTATGATGATATCATGATAGAAGATAATGCATTATTCATGTATCACTAAATCATTTCATGTATCACTAAATATGCTAAACTTACTAAAATTTAGCAGTGAGTATAAGGTGAGTAAAATCAAGATACACTGTATAAGGTGAGTAATATCAAGATACACTGTCATAAGGACACTGCAATAATAACATTAATGTTTCTTATGTCACTAATAATTGCAGAATTTAAAGCGCTTTTATCCTATAAGCGATGATTTGTTCCGAGCTCTTAAAGCGATTTTCTAATTATCTTATTATACTCTGTGATATCTTTTGCCTGCTGTCTCGCTGTCCTTATCTTCCTCTTCAGCTATCGTGCACATTCCTCTTAAAATCACTGATTAACCAATAGTCTGACTAATTCTTACTCAGACATTCTTTAATTTAGAAGATAGAAGATAGTGAATAGGAAGACTAGCTTCCTAATTAAACGCTAATAAATTACAAACAATATTGAAATATAGTACCTGTAAAACCGTTAAATTGATTTGCTTAAATACAACATTCCTGATAAAAAGCTTGTTGTCTTAGATAACATATCTTTATAAAGAACTTGAGATAGTATTCTTCGAAAGACCATTCAGTATTCCTTAAATTTTCTTAAATTGAATTTTGCTTGTTATAATGTGAGTGAAATTTTCGTATTGTCTCTTTATTATTATATGTAGAATATGCTACTTTATTATACATATTGGATACATTGAACAAAGTGATACATTTATGCGAGGTAAGTGTGTGTATTAAAATTAAATTTTATAATTTAGAGAAAAGAGCAATAATTTATTGAAAATTTTTGTCAAGACAAATTAATAAAGAATTAATACAAGAAAATATTGCTCCTTCCTTTATTTTCTTTGGATTATGAAATATAATTTTTAATTATTATTGTATTATGACAGCTTTCTTACCTTTTCCAAATCAGCTGCAATGTCCAAATTGATGTTATTGCTGTCAAAACACAAATTGATAATAACAATATTAGTCGGTGTGACTGTCGGGATATTATACGGTCTGAGTCTGAAACATAGCGGAAGATCATGGTCCCAGCGAGATATTATGTATATCAAATTTCCCGGAGAAATGTTTCTCAGGATGGTGAATTGCTTAATATTGCCGCTTGTCACATCAAGTATTATAAGTGCCACTTGTAATTTGACCAAATCTGGTAAGTATCTTATTCTTCGAGATGATTAAAATTTTTCTCTGTGAAAATATCATGAACTATTTAAGAATAATTATTTAATTTATTGTAGAAATATATTATTACTAGGTATCTTAATTTAATATTTAATACTCTATTTTGGCAAATTTTATTTTAATCGCCTATCTTTGTATCTATATGTATCTTTCTACTTTAAACAAGAATTTAAAAAAATTTGGATATATATTTAAATGCTTAATTACATAGATACACATTTATAGACTTAATTATATAAATTTTATGAAATATTTTATATAAAGAATTGTAGAAATGTAACAAGGCTCGCGCGAAAGTTACTTATAATTGTATAGGACCTATTGGATTAATGGCATTGTGTTATTATCTAACAACTACTACGATTGGAATAATTTTATGTGTTACGCTTGTTGAGATTATTCGACCGGGTGAATTAATGAGAAATGAAGAAGACAGTACGCTAACGTCCACGAAAACTTTTATGACAATGGATACAATTCTTGATTTATTACGGTAATTAAACGAGTACTTCACAATTTGCGAATTCTATTGCCATACTTTCAAAGCTTTTTTGTAACACTGAAACTAAAATATCTTTCTATAGACAAGATAACAATCAAAAAGAAAAGTTAAATAAAAAGTAGTTCACTTGAAATAGTCATCAGAAAAATTCTCTGAAAAAAATATACAACTATTTCTTAATAAAGTTTAAAAATATTCTCTTTTTTCTCTCTCTCTCTCTCTCTCTCTGTATGAATTTCTCTTTTATTAATTTTTTTACAGTAATCTTCTTCCTGAAAATTTAGTAAATGCATGCATGTATCAGGTATGTATGAATACATATTAGATTGCATCTCGTGAAAAATATATATCTCTTCTATTGTATCTCAAAAATCTCACAATTATTTTTCTTGTTACAGTACCAAACTGTTTTAAAACAACCAACGAATGTATCAGGTACTACAAAATGTTAGACGTCATATATTTTCACTCGTTTATGGATTCTTTTTCTTTTTTTTTTTAATAAATTCGCAATCATTTTTTTATCAATTAAAACTTAATCTTTGGGAAAAAAACGATGTTAAAAAAATTTATCTCTGGGAATAACGTCTTGGGGATGTAAATAATAAAAGCTTGTTTTTTTAATTAATTTTATGCAAACTTATGAGCAGCGTAAGAATAAAAATTAAATTAGAAGTTACTAGATATTTGTGAAAGTACAAACGCGGAATGAAATTATAAGTTAATTATTTTAATGTCATCTATATTTTATTTTAAATAAAAGCGTATAATTCATTACAGTACCGATAGAAGAATGGCCCATAACAAGCGAATATGTAGCAGGAACAAATGTTTTAGGCTTGGTATTTCACAGTCTTTTATTAGGTCTGGCAATCGGTAAGATAGATGCAAGAGGAAAACCACTGGCAGACTTTTTCAGTTCCTTGGCTGATGTCACAATGAAAATTATGAAATGGATCACAATGTACGTTGTTACGCGTCGTATCATTATATTACTAAAATATAAATTAGATAGTAAATACTTAATATCAAAGAATATTATTTTCAAGAAAACTATCTCAAATTTTGTCTTCTATTTTTTGCATTAAACTTATTTTGACCCTACCCTTGTATTACATAAAATTTAATAATAAAACAAATAATACATATATCGTGTTAAAATATATTGGATTATTTGCACGTATATATAATAATTATGTTTCTCTTTTAGGATAGCACCTGTAGGCATATCATTTCTTATTGCCGGTCGAATGCTGGAGATAAATGATTTCAGTGATATAATAAGCCATCTCGGATTTTATATATTAACTGTGTTCGTTGGACTACTACTGCAAGGTTTCGTAATTCTGCCCTTTCTTCACTGGATCATCACACGCAGATCATCATATAAAATCATATCCAAACTTGGCCCAAGTTTTGCAACAGCCATTGGAACGTCGTCAAGGTTCAATAAAAAAAATGATGTCCGAATTTAATAAAATTTCATTTTCTAATAGGATATATAATTTAGCTCTGCTACTGTTCCCTACACAATAAGATGTCTAGAAGAGCTGGGTATAAATTCCAAAATAATAAAATTCATTATACCGATTGGAGCGGCAATAAATATGGATGGAATAGCTTTGTATGAATCTATTGGAGCAATATTTATTATACAGTTACGTGGGCTGCAATTCTCACTGTTGAAAATAATAATTATCAGGTGAAATAATTATCAGATGATTAAAAACTGTATAAAATTTTCTTTTCTGAAAGAATATTCTACTAATAATAATTTGAAACAATATAATTTTACAATATGTCAAAAAATTTTTAATTCTTTATATGATACCAATATTCAGTATTTTACAGTATTACATGTACGGTATCCTGCGTGGGTGCTGCCGGCATACCCAGCGGTGGTTATATGATGTTAATAATGGTATTAAATTCTATAGGTGTGCCTGTAGAAGATGTTACACTAATTATTGCCATCGATTGGTTTGTGTAGGTATACGATATCATTTGATGTCATATATGTCCAATAAAAATAGCGTCTTTCTATTTTCAAATTTAAACATAGATTGAAATATAAATTTTCTATGCTAAGAAGTAAAAAATGTATTATTTTGCAGTGATCGTTTCAGAACGACAGTCAATATTATTGGTGATGCGCTTGGCGCAAGTATTATATCTCATTTTTGCAAGAAAGACCTGGAAGAAGATCTGGAAGACGAGATATGTCCGCTAAAAACAAATATTCGTAATATATCTATATAAACATTCGTAATATATCTATAAAAATATGTTCTAATAATGAAAATTAAAATAGAAATTTAATAATTTATTGTTGCGAAACTATCTTTTTTAGTAAACTTTAAATAACATACAAATTGTACGCAAACAGCATATCTTGCTGAATATTATGACAATTCGTTAGATTAAATTTTATTTAATTACGCTCGTTACGTTCATTATGTTAAACATAAATAAGGGATAAAAATTAAAAGAAGAAAGAAAGGAGTTCTGTAATGTATTATTGAAAAATAATTATATTTTCACAATCATATTAAAAAAGTATCTTTGTGTATCAAATTCTTTTTTTCATATTATGTTTTGTTGTATTGACTTCGTATCGTATTGACTTTTGTTACAAATTGTTATATTGTTTTACATGTGCTTGTAACTAAACATAGATCTATAAACGGAGTCTACTTCTGTGAAGTAATTGAGCTCAACGATAAAAAGAAAATGTAGACTACTTCTCTTTATATTTGGTTTAAATAGATGAAATGAATGAATGCATTTGAACAGTTATGTAATAATTGTATAATGATGTAGATTTATCGAATAATAAATTTATTAGAAAATTAAAGTGACTTAAATCTTATGTTTTTACTTCTATAGAAATCTTTAAATATATTGCCATGCAAAAGCAAATGACACATGGAAAAATAAAGCCAATGATTTCGAATTAAACCGGGTAAGTCGAAGGGATTTAGCACTTGGCGATTCACTTGTCATTCAATTCAGCACTAATTATACATCTGCGTAAGTGAATTGTGTGTGTGTGTGTGTG